CTGGGGTCTTATTAAAACTCAGGTTCTGATTTCTAGAGCTGAGGTGGGGTCTGGAATTTTGCATTTCTCACAAATTCTAGGATAGGCCAATGCTGCTGGTCCATGGACCACACTTGGAGTAGCAAGGCCATAGTCTAGGCCCTTCCCTTTCTAAATAAAGGACCAGAGACCCATAGAGGGGCCAAGTGCACCCCAGACCCCAGCTGGTACTGCGGAGTCAGCTCCTCCTCAGGCCTGGTGCCCAGCGGTCCTCTCCTGAGCTGTCTCCCTCCCTGCTCTGTCACACAGGCTCCTCCCCAGCTGTAAGGCCTCCTAGCATCTGGATGTTGCTGAGTGGTTTCTGCGGAGGAGGGCGGAGTGCACTCTCCCCGCAGGTACCATGGAAAACCCATCTCAGAGGGGAACTTCAGAGCCTTCACAGCTTTGTCCAGGCCTAGGCAAGAAAGCCTCCAGGAATTTCCTAGCCTGGAGGCGCCCAGTTTTATTGTGTTCCATGTGGCACTTTCCCTCCATAGACCCCACCACTGACACTAACATGTGCTCCTCCGAGAGCAAGTTGACAGAGCCCAGGAGGAAGCCGTGCCACATGGAACCGGAGCCCAGGGCAGTGAGGCAGAGGGTGGAGAGCGAGGCAGTGGGTGGGGTGGGGTAAGGTGGAGGGGATGTGCAGTCCCAGAAATAGCACGGGGAACCCAGAGCCCAGGTAGGGCCTCACAACGTGACCCAATGTCCTTTAGGAGCAATATGTCCCATAGCACCTCCCCTCTGCACCCCATTCTCTCAGGAAGACTCCTTAGCTGCCTTTTTTCAGCCCCTTAAACTCTCCCACTATTTTCCTCAAATGATCTATAGCTCAGCCCCTGCCTCCTTTTTTGTGTGTTAGATATTCTCAGGAAATTCTCTAATCCTCCTGTTCTCTCCAAAGGCCACTGTAGCCCAGACGGCTCTTTTATTCGTCATATGCCTCCTGAGGGCAGCATGGCGTGGTGATTCAGAACAGGGTTGGTGGGCAAACTATAGCCCTCAGACCAAATCCAGCCTCAGCCTGTTTTTGTAAATAAAGTGTTGTTGGAATACAGCCACACCCATTTATTTAGGCATTGGCTATGGCTGCTTTCTTGTGACAGAGACCGAATGGCATGCAAAGCCTAAAATATTTACTCTCTGGCCCTTTACAGGAAATGTTAGCCCATGCCTGGTTTACAGTCAAGCCTCTGATTAGGCTTCCTAGCCTTGGGCAAGCGGCTTGCATCCTTGAGCCTCGGTTTCCTCCTGGGATTGTTATAAGAACTAAATGAGTGAGTTCACCTGAAGCTCTTGGAGTGGCACCTATTCTGCATTAAGTGACATGGCACCCAGTGTGAAGGTGCTGACAGGGTCAGGGCACAGGGCAGTGTGAACTTGGATCAGAAAGGAGTTTTGGGGCCGGCCCGGTGGCGCACTGCTACAGTGCGCCGCTTGGGAGCGCAGTGGTGCTCCCGCCGAGGGTTCGGATCCCACATACAGACCGGTTCCCGCTCACTGGCTGAGCGAGGTGCGGGCACAACACCGAGGGTTGCGATCCCGTTGCCGGTCCGGTCCGGGCGCGACACTGAGGGTTGCGATCCGTTACCGGACACGAAAAAAGACAAAAAAGGAAAAAAAAAAAAGAAAGGAATTTTGTCCTAACTTACTGAGAGTCCTGTAGGGCAATAAGGCTCCCACGTGATTTTCTTCATCATCATGACAGTGGCTACATTTATTAAGCACGTGGGGCTGTTGAATCTTACAGGGGGTGAAAGGTTCTAACTCCAGTGCATAAGGGGAAATGTGTGGCCTAAATTACCCTTGAGTATCCCTGAGCTGGGCCAGAGTCAGTACACGTGGCCCTGTGTCCTCTTCCATCTTTCAGTGGCTGGACCCAGTCTAGGGAGAGGCAAGCGAGGCACCTTGTGCATAATGTCTAAGGAGGCCTCCTGCTCAGATTTGTGCCACTGCAGGTCGGCTCCCGAGAGAGGCCACCCAGCCCCAGCCCTGCTCAGAATCCAGTACAGCCACCCTTACCTCCAGCCTTGGAACAGGTGGCAGTTTCCCAGGTGACTACCAGATGGTGTAGGTGACTTGCTTTTAGGGGCCACATTGAATGAAACATACACCCGAGGGGAGGTCTGGCCACCTGTGTAGAGTTGACACCGTGTCAACAGGTGCAGCCCCACTGTGCTGTGTGCCAGAGCCCCACGCCTGGGGCTCAGCCTGCATCCCTGATGGCATCCTTGCCACAGCTCTATGATGCAGGTGTTCTGAGTGCTGTCTTAATAGATGTGGAAACTGGTGCTCAGGGAAGTTGGGTGACTTGCCCGAGGTCATGCAGGGAATAAGCCTCAGAGTTCCAGGAATCAAACCAGTCTGCCTGAGTTAGAACCCTTGTCCTTCACTTCGCATGAGCAACTGTAATATAACCACAAAAATGGCAAGTGCCTGAAGGAGGGCTGTCAGCTGGGATTGAGTTCAGCTGCAGGTAACAGCAGCTGGACCACTATGGCTCATCAACTGCTTTTGATGTTTTTTCTCTCTCATGAACAAGGCATTTGGAGGCAAGAGCTGGTAGGATGTGTGGATGATGATGCTACCAGAAACCCAGGTTCCTTCTCTTTTTCCATTGGGCCATCCTTAGTGTGGGGCTTTCTTCCTTATGCTCACAGGATGGCTGCTCTAACATCCCATCTGCATTCCAATCAGGAAGAAGGGTCCTGTATCCACTGAGTCTGTCCTGATTACCAGGAAGACAGGAGTTTTCTCAGAAGCTCCACTCTGTAGACTTCACCCGCTGCATTGTCACACCTGGATCACATGGCCATCCCTAGCTGCAAGGGCCTTGTATTAGTCCATTTTTGTATTGCTATAACAGAATACCTGAGACTGGGTAATTTATAAGGAAAAGAGGTTTATTTGGCTTACAATTCTGAGACAGCTGCATCTGGCACAGGCTTCAGACTGCTTCTACACACAGTGGAAAACGGCAGGACAGCCAGTGGGTATAAGCAGATCACATGGCAAGAGGAAGCAAAAGAAAGAGAGGTAGGTGCCAGGGTCCTATAAACAACCAGCTCTTGCAGGAACTAATAAAGTGAGAACTCACTCACTATCCCCAACCCCCAGGGAGAACATTAATCCATTCATGAGGGTTCCACACCCATGACTCAGCTCCCAACAGTACCACATTGAGGATCAGATTTCCACATGAGTTTTGCGGGGACAACACATCTGGACTCCATCAGGCCTCCAGCAATGTGACCATCTTCGTGGGACATGTGGCTGCCTCAGCAGAATCAGGCAGCAGACAGATACTGGGTAGGCAGAGAGCAGTGTCTCCAAAGCAAGGTAGGTTTTGGATACATGGAGAAGACTTGGAAGAGTGGCATTAAGATTGGGAGAACAGCACAAGCAAATGCACAGAGGTGGGAGAGTTTAGGAAACAGGTGACAGTCAAGACTCTGTTACAAGTAACATAAATCCTATTCACATTATCTTAAGCAAAAAGAAAGTTTCAGTAGGGCTTGCTTCAGGTGCAGCTGTATTCAGGCATTCTAAACAAATCCATCAGGACACTGCTTCAGCCTCTTAGCTGTGTTTCTGTGCTAGGGCCAGAGTGATCCCCAGCAGCTGCTGGAAGACTTCCCTTTAGCTCAGCATCCCTGTAGGAAGACAGCACCTCCTCCCCCAACTCTAACAGGATTCCAACAGAAATCCCAGGGCTGTTTTCCTTGGCTGCCTTAGGTCCATTTTAGTCCCTGAACCAGCTGGCCAGGGCATGTTGTAAGGGGTGGAATGGGCTGATTGGCCAGGCCTGCCTCACATTCCCACCCTTGGGCCACACATGGGTTGGGAAAGAGGGGGACAAGCCCCAGAGAAAAACAAGGGAGGCATTTCCTGAAGGTCAGGGCATGGATGCTGGACTGACAAAGCTGCAGACCCTTGGGGCCCAGGAAGCAGTTGTTTGGCCGAATTGTCAGATGTGTGGAAAGAGGCCAGACTGCAGGGAACTTTGCATGCCAGGTATATGGGTTAAGGTACAGGTTTGGCTGCTCTGACAGGGAGACCCAAATAACAGTGGATGGACAACAAGAAAGCTGATGTCTCTCTAATGGGAGAAGTCACGCTTATGCCAAGACATCATCGAGTAACCCAGGCAGCCAGTTTTGTTGCTCCTCCATCCTCCAGATGTGGCCTTCCTCCCTATAGCGCCAGGCAGCTCCACCCCACCCCCATGTTCCAGCTGGCGGGAAAGGGAGCGGGGCAAGGGAAGGCTAGCCCCTTCCCTTTAAGAACACAACCTGGAAGATGCAGCACACCTCCCTGCCTCCTGGCCGTACCTCGTTAACCAGAATGTGTTCACATGGTCCCTCCTCACTGCAGAGAAGGCTGGGAATGCCACATGCACATCTGGATCTCCATACAAGAGAGGAAGGGAGAATGGCCACTGAGGGACAGCCTGCAGTCTGCTACACTAGGCCAAGAGTTTGTTTCCAGACAAGGAGTTTGTTTCCAAGGAGGATGGTCCAAGAAATGCAAGAAGAAAGAGAGGCCCCACTACACAAAGTTTCTGCAGTCCGAAAAGCTCGGGAAGTGTTTCATGCTGTATTTCATTTTAGGATATCCACAGTGTGTATCTGTGCAGGCCAGGGATCATAAAGCCCTTTCTGAGAGGTTGAACACCTGCTAAAATTCTACTGATAAATAATTTCAAGGCGAAAAGTGATTTAAACAAATTGTCCTGAGCACACTTTGGGCAGTAGGAACCAGTAGAGACTTTAGAGCAGAGATGGCGTGGCCCATCCAGCACGGGCCTTACAGGACAGACATTGGACCAGCGTTCATCATAGCATGACCACCCTTGCATGCAGGCATACCACCAGCAGAATCTAATTCCTGCACCCACCCCTCCAGTGCTAGTCCTTGCCCCAGAGGAATAAAGATGTTTATTCCACCAGATCTGAAAAGGTCTGAATTTTTGTTTCTAGAAATCTGTGCAGATCAGAACAGAAGCTGGCCCACGGCTCCACATCGGACCTCCTCTGGACTATTCTGAAGATTTTGAGCTGTGTGGGGATGAGACTGTCGAGGCAAAGGACTCTTCTGGGGATCGTCCACAGGTAGGAATTGGCCTCAACCTTATGCTCAGGGCTCCTGAAGGACAATGAGGCTCAGTGCAATGGTGGCAGTTGGTGGCTCTTGGAGGCACTTTCTTACCATTATTTACCCCATTCTACACTCACCCCTGCATTACTTCACTCCTGTGTTCATTTCACACAGTAAGCACAAAGCATGTGCTAGACACCCTGAGTCCCAAGGTTGGGAAGACTGGTGTTTGACCTGACAGAGTCAATAGCATCTGATCCGTCTACAGCGAGAACCAGTAGAGAGGTGGGGGCAGAGCACAGCAGTAACAGAGGAGGGAAATATCCAGGAAGTCTTCCCAGAGGGGTAACATTTTCACTGGGTCCTAAAAGCTGGGGAAGTTTGGGGAGCAAGGAGGTGAGGCCAGAGCTGATAGCCTGCCTGCATGTGTATATGTGCACCTGCTAAATATTTTGAATATTACCCCTTTGGGCAGCAGAAACCATGCATGTAAACACCCACACACCCATGTGGCTGTAGCTCAAAGTTCAAGTCAGTGCAGCAGCTGATGAGTTGACAATGGGGCGTTTTACATCCCTTCCTCAAATTGCTATTTTATTTTTAAAATCCTGTGAACTGCGATAGTACAGCCCTGTCTTTCCTTCAACAGTCATTTGTCAGGAACCTATTACTGAGCATTGGCTCTGTCCTGAGTGCCAGAGATACAGAAATGAGCAAAATGGATAAGGTGCCATTCTCAAGCAACTTATGTTCCAGAGGGGAGACAAACAATAAAGAAAAAAGTGAGAAATAAATGATGAGAACATTCCAGGCATCAATAAGTTAGTTCTCTGAAGAAATCAGAAGAGGGAAAAGGGACCATTGGCTGGGGTGGAGAGGAGAGGAAGGCCTCCCTCAAGCAGGATGTTTTGGTTGAAACTTGATGGACAACAGGAGGGGCTTGGCACAGAGCACTGGGAAAAGCGTTCCAGGGAGAGAAAGCAGCAAGCATGGATGGAATCAGGCTGGGTTTGCTCAAGGAGCACCATGCAGGCACGGCATGAATGGGGACCGCAGAATGAAGTGAGGTTGGAGCGGTGCCAGGCACAACAGGTGGTGCCTGGCAGGCCTGGGCCAGGGGGAGATGGAGAGCCAGAGTATATTCCAAGGGTGTTGCTTTTATAATTAAAATGAGAAGATCTCCATGGTTATGCACAAGCAAAATTATCAGGAGGTGGCAGGACAAAGTCAAGTTAGTAAGCCAGACGCTGCCCCCTTTGCCAGAGCAGCGCATGTTCAGCTCTGGGCCCAGGCTGCAGATTCGATAGCCTCACCACAAGGGCAGTCTTGCTTCTGCATGTCACTTCTGCACCAAAGACTGCTTTTATGAAATGAAAATGACCCATGAAGGAGGTGGGACTGTTGTCCAAGAAAATGTTCCTCTGATTTTTGCTGCATGTTTGAATTTCCTTATTTGCTCATAAGGAAAGGACAGGTAAGGAGCAAGGGCTCACTTTGTTTCACATCCTGATTGCAAAAGGTCTGAGAGTAAATTGGAAATTTTTGTCTTCTTGCAAAAAGAAAAAAATCCTTTTCTGTGGAATGGCCCAATGACCTGGCTTTTCTACCCAGTCCATAAAAGTTGGATTAAACAGCAGGCAAAAATGTGGACTTTACTGCCTTTAAAACCCACGTTGCTTCTGAATCAACCAAACGATCCCCTGCTCAGGATCAGACTATGCAAAACAGGCATCAGTTTCTCTTATTTTGGGAGGCTGGTTTTTAGCCAAGTTCAATCGGTTACAGGCAGCCTTGCCCCATGTCACAGAATGTGTCTGCCCTTCAAGCAAGAGTCCGTGGTAGTTTGTTTCTGGCCAAGCTTTTGGCCCCTCTTGTCAAATGAACATACAGTCCTCCTTTGCCAGCTCCCCAGCTCCTTGCAACACAAGGCAGCAGCGTCCCCCACAAGCTATTAAGTCCCATTAGCGTTCCTTTGTGCACACGCTCTGAATTGGTGTGGCTGCTGCTCCACTGGCACTTAATTTCCTCCACTGTGAGTGCTTGATTGTGTTTCTTTCTGTCCTTTTCTCCCCCATCTTGAGGGGAGCACTCGCAAGGCTTCACAGTCAATTTCCCCTGGAGTTATTTTCCTGCTGAGTTAAAGAGTGAAATAGCACTGCCAGTTTTCGGCAAAGGCAGAAGCCTGAAGAGACACGGTCTGAGCAGGGAGAGAGAAAAAGTGCATGGTGATATAGACTGAGCCACCTCACACTGTTTGCAAGTGCAGCCTGCAATGAAGCAAGAGGAAGTGCGCGTCACACACATACCTTCCGCCTGACCTTCACTGCTGAAACACACCAGTCTTTTGCCTTCAGTCACATCCTCAGTAACCTTCAGTTTCTGGGTGGCTCCAAGTTCACAGACGGGCATGCTGCAGAAGTGTTCCATGGCCTCCACCCTGCTGACTTGCACTGGGCTGTCAAAAGATGTGAATTGCCGGCCAAGCCCGTGGCGCACTCAGGAGCGTGCGGCGCTGGGAGCGCAGCAGCACTCCCGCCCCGGGTTCGGATCCTATATAGGGATGACCAGTGTGCTCACAGCGCTCACTGGCTGAGTGCAGTGCGGCCGGTCTCAAAAAGGACCAAAAACAAAGATGTGAATTGCCGGCCAAGCCCGTGGCGCACTCAGGAGGGTGCGGCGCTGGGAGCGCAGCAGCACTCCCGCCCCGGGTTCGGATCCTATATAGGGATGACCAGTGTGCTCACAGCGCTCACTGGCTGAGTGCAGTGCGGCCGGTCTCAAAAAGGACCAAAAACAAAGATGTGAATTGCTAGCCTACATTTAAGCATCAGGAGATTCCATGTGAAAATCTGAATTTGGGCCTTCTCTTGAAAAATCGGAAGATGTGGAGACCACATTCTTACAGGACAGCAGTGACTAGAGCTGAGGAGCAGCTGTCCCCCTAGATAGGTGTGTACTCCAGAGTGCCACAGTCCCCACCACACAGTGCCAGACACTGACAACAACACAGAAGATAACAAGTATATAATATGTCAGGAGGTGGTGGGTCTTACAAGAAAAGTAGAGCAGAGTGAAGGGATAGAGGAAGATGGCAGGGGCTACAATTTTACATGGGGTGGGCAGGGGTAAGACCCCAAGGAAGTGAGGAAGTGAGCCACGCAGAGAAGAGCTTCCAGGCACAGGGAGTAGCAGGTGCAGAGGTCCTGAGGAGGGAAGCCAGCAAGGCCAGTGGCGCTGGAGGGAGGGAATGCGGGATGAGGAAGAGGAGGGGGATCAGAAGAGCAGCCATGGTCAGATCGCATGGGGATCGAGGGCCTTGGTAAAGATTTGAGATGCTCCTTAAGTCGGATGGGAAGCCATCATAGGGTTTTGAGCAGTTTTCCAATTCTGGTGAAAGGAGAGCACCTCTTTCCAGAGAGTTCCACCAAAGTGCCAGATCTTGGTCATGCTGGCTTTCCTAGGGACATGGGCTGTGTGCTGCAATGGGTGATATGGTTTCCATGTAAATGATCTCAGCTCCATTTAAGTATCAGAAATGAAACAAAGTGTACATTTCTAAAATATATATATTAAGATTCCTTATTTTCCCAGTAATGCATGATCAATATAAAAAAATCAAATGGTACAAAGAAAATAAGAGTCCTTTCACAATCCCCCTGCCCCAGAGATAATTACTATGAGTAGGTAGGTACGTAACCATCCAGACTGAGAGTGGAATATATCATTGAGCCCAACAGGGGACAGTTGGTTGATCTGAATGTTCTAGTCCTCTCCTATTCCAATGAGTGATGTTCCCAAATTGGGTTATCTTATAAATCCCTGAGAGCATAATACATGACAGGAAGACTTGACCACCCTGACATCTTCTAGAATGCCCTTTGAGTTTTTCTGTCCATTGTGTAAATCCCATAGTGGGACAAATTGGGTATCTTCCCACAATTACAATTTAATGTCTTAAAATTATCATTGTTACTGATACATATAAACCACTAAAGGCCATCTTTGGCCAAGCACCCGCAGTGGAACAGCCCGCCCGCACCCCACACCCAGCGGGGCTCTGCAGCACTCCCCTTTAGTCATTCTTCATTAATTTCAATGATGAGACTTAAAAAAATGAGGATCACTTTGGGGACAGTCCTATTGCTTGCGTACTTCTGCTATTTGGGAGTACCCTATGAATAACCTTTGAACGAGTGCCTTTTTTGTTATTTTAACATAAAAGGGATTATACCATCCATACTATTTGATAATCCCACTTTTTTTTGCTCAAAAACCTACCATGGCCATCTTTCCATGCCGATTCACTCAACCAGTGTATAGCCCAGTGGTTCAGAGCGCCGTTTGGGAGTTGGCAGCCTGAGTTTGAATCCCAGTCCATTTACAAGCTGCATGTCTGCAATGGTGTTGATACACAGAGATGAGTGTGATCAGATCAGGGGGTGATTTAGTGAGGAGAGAGACAGGAGGCAGGAAGACCAAATAGAACAAGGCCCCAGCACATCCTCAGGGATGGGACATTGCTTTTACCATGCCCAGTTCTCTGTGTTTGTCCCTTGGATACCAAGTCTCCCATCAGCACTGTACCTCACAATTTTAATTTTTCCCTTCTGAATGCTCATGAACACCCTGATCCTCCAAGCAGTGCAGACAAGAAAAAGATGCTCTTAACTATTCAGGATGTCATGGTAAGATCAACTTTCAGCATCCTAACCATGAAAGGCCAGGGTCTTTTTCATAGCCAAGCAGCTGGGCCCCATGACAGATTCTATGAAAACAACCAGATTAACAACAGGATTTGACTTTAAGAAAAATATCTTTGGCACACCCACCAGAAGATTTAAAACAACACACGAGAGTTTTGACTTAATGGCATTCTCTTTTTAAATGACAGTAAGAGCTCACTTAAATTAACACTTACTATGTGCTATGTATCATTTTGAGTATGTGACATCCATCACAATAACCCTGGGAGTCAAGTGCTAGGTATTTTCATTCCCACATTATAGTCTGAGAA